AGGCCTTTTGGGGAACTTGTCTGAGGAAAACAGAACATGCATGGATATGTCCAGTGTTTATTCTCCAAAAAGGCAACTTCAACTTGAATAAGTTATTGTAACTCACATTGTGCAAGAAGAACATTTGTTGCAGACAGATTGAACCTTAAAACTCTTGCACATAGATGGCATTATTTAAGGAGAAAAGGAAATGTGACTGAAATCCTTCTGTTTTGGCTTACGTTTTTAATTACTTACAGCTCTGAGTTAAGAATGTATTTAAAAATGTTCTTGGTAATACTCATCGCAAAAATGATAGACAGATGAAGGTACAGGTTGTTTTTTGAATTGTAAAATATGGAAAGAAAAGGAAAAGGAAACAAACCTTTATGAAACCTGTCAGTGATAGCATGGGCTTTTTTGTTTTTTGATATCTGTGTCTAAAAATCAAAGTCCCAGTGCATAAAGGTAAAAGTCACTTAACTGACAGAATTCCTGAGCGACTGAAAACTGGCATCTGTTCTTTATAGGTTCATCTTTGAGATTTCTCACTAGAAAACAGCATTTGAAAAGATTATCTTATAGCAGTACTAAATAATAGACTGTTCTGCGACATTCAAAGGTCTGAAGCTCCCTGTGGAACTAATGACATTTGTACAGCAAGTCAGGCTGCTTCTGCAAAGGAGGATGGTGGAAGTGGGAAAATGATAGGTTTTTGACAGAATGTTAACCCTAAGTTGCCACATTTCCTGAAAGAAAACTGCAAATAAGAGAGCCCTAATAACACTTCCAATAAATGGTCAGAGTCTTAGATGAATTTTAAACTGATACTTCCACTAATTTTGATGTTCACAGCTGATTTTCTGTCTCTGACACTCAGAGAGAGGAAATAAATGCTATGTTGCTGTGCTCTGATGACAGATCAGTAAGGTATTTTTCCTGAAAGTATGATGCGGTATTTTATTATCATTTATTATTATTATTTTATTATTTTTATTTTTATTTATTTTTTATTTATTATGTATTTTATTTTTATTTTATTTATTTTATTACTTATTATTATTATTTTATTCCTTTTGCTTGTCATTGCAACACTTGAAACAGTGAAATTATTTCTGTCCTATTGTTTGTTTGTTTGTTTGTCTGTTTTCTGGTCAATTTACCTGAAAGTATAAGCTCAGCCATTAAGCAGTGTCATTGCTTCCAAATGAGATCTCTTTCTATATTTAATCCACTGTTCAACTGGAAAAATGTTAAGGGAGAATTAGATCCTGGTATTTTCTCACCCACGAGATGATTTGACCTTACATGCCCTGAATTACCTTAGTACAAGACTGTAACACATGCAGGGAAAAAATGGAGAAGACTCCTCATCTTTCTGGTTGAATCTGAACAAAATTGCATCAGGGAATGTAAGAGGCACAGGGAAATAAGGCAAGTGGGCAAGGACAACTTGCCTGAGAAGAACTCAGCTCCAGACCTCATCCTTGGTTGTATTTTACATCCCCATCTCCTTGGCTAGCCCTCTTTAGCGGGAATCTACTTTTTTCAGTGTACGACAGTGTAACTTCAAGCCAAGGGTTGTGAATTTATATATCTCCACTTTTCCACAATCCTGATACTGAAGCCTTTCTCCTCATGTGTGGGAGTCCAATTATTTCAGAACAAGATGGGTCTGCTGTGGAAAAATGACACTGAAATATTTGTAAAGTCACTTTGTTCTGCTGCTTTCTACCACCCACTGTCTGATGCAGCTGTCTGTGTGGATCAGCACAATGACCTGCATTGTAGACTTCTTTAGGGATTTAAAGAGAATTGGGCAGCTATCTGTCTAAAGTCATATAGCAAGATAACTCAGCTGGAAGAAGAACATTATCTTCTCAACAGGGCAGCTAAATCTGTGTTTGAGCACTTAGGCAATTTCTGCCTCAAGAAACTGGAGATCTGGGTAGCATTAGAAGTAGTTGTCCCTTATTACTGTCTGAATCTTGAACTAAAAGCTCAAATTCCCAATTGAGATGTGCTTCCTAGGGTTTTATTTAGCCCCATGGGCAGGTAGCATTACCTACCTACCCTTGCTATGACCATCACCTCAAAACCTACTCAAGCTTTCTCACCCTGAAGACAGGCAGGTAGAGAAACTAAGACTTACACCACAGAGGGTCTTAGAGAGGTTTTTAAATCTTGCAAGCACTAGAATTACAAGAAAGATAAAGAGGAGGATTTATTGTGCATTAGTAATAATTTGGCCCTTCAGGCTTAGCCTGTACTCTAAAAACTTTTTAATGAAATACTGCATACTGGTGAGCTAACAGAGTAACAAGGTAAGTTTGGGCAGGGTATTGGCATTTAAAGCAAATCAGTTATTGTATTTCTCCAACTATACCCTCATGTTACCTTCATTAGCTAAAATGCAGACTGAGAATAAAAGTTCCCCCAAGGCATAGTATGTTATATATGTATTGGATACATATATTTTCTCTTCCTATAGATTTACATGTTCCAAATATTTGGTGCAGACAAACAGTGTTTTAGAGATAGTGGCCTAAGTGATTTACTGTGCTGAAATAATCCATGACCTCCTCTTCTCTCAACTACCATATGTGAAAGTGGTTGCTATTGGCAAAAACTTCCCGAGCAAACTTTAAATCTTAACTTTCATAGCTGCTATAACAGAGAAATCTAGAAAGTCAGCAATGGCTTGTACTGCTTTGACTTTAAAGACTCTTTTTTAACATTTCTCTCTTTTTCTTTGGGATTCAAAATTGACAGATGGAGTTCTTAAGTTGCTGAGATACTTAAAATTAAAAATAGTAAAAAGTTATTCAAATTTTAAAACAAACCAACCCCAAACCTTCTGCCCTACCCTCTGTTCCTTTTTTAATAACTTAAGAAATCTTTCTTTATGCATGTAAATGTCTCAAAAAAACATGTGCCTTCTTTCCTGTTAAACAAATACTCTTCTTGTATTGCTTCTGTTCAATACATAGGTAATTGAATAGAAGCATAAACAGCAGGAAAAAGCTAACTATTACATTTTTTAAATCTTGATTCTTCTCTCATACCAAACAAAATCTAGAAGCTCATATTACACAAGGCAAAGTAATTGTAGCAAAGTGGATCCACCCTTCATTTGTACTATGACAATATTTTCTTAAACAAGTACCTCTGGTTTTGGTGTTCAAGCTGAAAGATTGATGATTACAGAGACAAAACCTTATTACAAAAATTTTGCATCTTCAAGACTTTAACAAATCAGTTTGCTCCTTTAGTTTTACCAGTAGTTACCACACCCCATTAGTCTGCACTGTCTGGATTTGCTCTAAGAGCACAGAAAAAGTGTAAATGCAAAAACTCGTTTTTTACTTCCAATTCCATCATCAACTCCCATAAAACCAGTAGTGTTTTCCCCAATTCTAACAGTTTGGCACTGTTTTCTATTACATATAGAGATATTCCTGCAGATTTTAGCCTTTTCTTTCTTCCCCTCATTGTTTTCATTACTTGGTAAATGAAAATTAGACTCTGTGAAATTGAATCTCCAAAACTTTTAAGTAAATTTGTTTTCAAGTAACTTTCCTTATTCTGTGTTGGATTCCTCATTTCAATGAAGTTCTCTCAAACTGAATCCCAATGTTTTGTTGTGGTACTATATAAATGATTCTTAGAAATAGTCCTAAAAAAAGGCCAGAAATGAAGAAAATTATGCCCTTGGGTTCCTCCAAGCCTCCTAACTCACTTGATAAATACTGCCTCAAAGCTTCTCCCTGTAAGACAAACAGTTTCCCTGCTCTTGAGTGGTGTGTTTTTAGTTTGTTTTTAACAGTTTCTCAGTTGAGTCTGCCAGCAGTCCCACAATCTATCCAGCAGAGGTAACAGTGTGCAGTACGTGATTCTTCTCTACTCAGCTTCCCTGTCTCTGTTTTTCTGTCATAGATGGCTCTTTATGCCACTGGGTAGAGATCCAAGCCTAGGGATTTAGCCAGCTCCAAATTTCAGGTATCATTACTGCACCATTAAAAAAACCTTCTGAATTTCAACCCTTAAACAGCTTCAGCATAAAAGACTGCATACTCTATCTCTGTCTTTTCAGCTAGTCTTTTCCCTTTCGTTCCCTCTAATGAATTACTCACAGCCACAGACTTCTCTTTTCTAAACGCGGTATACTCGGCTAATTATTTGTATAAATTAGAGAGAGAGAGACCACTTAATTATCACTATATTTTGCATAACTTTAAAATTAACACTCATTTATATTGAAACAGAACCTGATGGGCCCCACTGGGACCAGGGTCTTATTGTGCTTAGTGTTGTAGGAACAGAGAACAAGGATCAATCTCTGCCCTAAATAGCCATTAGCTGTGTCAGGCAAAAGGATTGTTCTACCTTATTTAACAGATGAGGTACCAAAGCACAGAGATTAAACAATTTGCTCAAGAAAATCCATGGCAGAACTGAACCCAGGTCTCTTAAATCTGAGCCAGATGTCCAGTTCACAAGGCCATTTGTCTTCCTTAGGATAAGTCACATTCTGTAAACATCTGTGTCTTATCTGCTGTCTCAGTGCACCCAGGCTCAGCAGAGATTTCCTGTAGCTAACAATAAGAAAATCTTTCATTTCTGCTCTCTTCTTACAAGAAAACTTTGAAACTTCAGGACATTCAGAACTGTTGAGTTTACAAAAAGATGCAGACTGTTGCTATTACCAGAGCCAGAGTTTCGTGCCTCACAGAAAAACTGGCACAAACACGATCCATGTTCATTGCTGTAAACAAGATGTAATGGAACAGCATAACAGCAACCATGACTGCCACATATTATCATTGCTCGACTTGCATATAATTAATTCCTTGTGAAAGATACCATTATAACAAAACAATTCTAAATGGTCTCCCAACCAGTGTTGCTGCCCTGGAAACAACACATCACAGTCAGGAGAATGGTTTTGTCTAACAACACTCCCCTTTTCTGTACCAGAGCCAACAAGCTCCATATTCATCAACACTGCAACCAGCCAACCCCCAATAATGAGCTTCCTGGAAACATCTATAGTGGAAACTGAACCTTTAATTTCAAGATATCGTAGTAATAAAGAAAGGAATGAAGAGCACACAATGGAATATAGAATATCTGTACCAGAGATACTTGTGGGGTGGTCTGTATCTATATGTATGTTAACGAGTTGGTCTTATACAATCCTCAGCAGAGAATGTCATTGGTCACAGCCAGTATTCAAGTGTTTTTGAAGAAAACCTGGACTGTGGGAGTATTTTCTGAATTCATACTACCTGGAAAGTGAGTTCCTCGAAGATAGGAAGGTAAGTAATTTCAACTGGGCAATTTTATTTTGAATAAAATCTTGTTCTTTTATACCTCAATACAAGCAAGAAAAACAATGTTTAAAATTTTCATCTTTGATAGTGGTGTTTTAAAAATGGCATGGTCAGAAAAAAACACATCAATAGAGCTATATTTCTCCTTCTATGTGTGGTAGTACATTTCTCTGAGCTCAGTGCTTTGTTCAGTCATCGAGAAACATCCTAAAAAGCCCTGGGATGTCAGAAGGCTGAGGTATGAAATATCTGATGAGTAAGGTCACTCCTTTCATTTGCAAGTCACAGAACAGTGAAACGTGATGCTTGCAGACCTGTAGAGTTTTGAGTAAAATTTCTAAATTGAAGTGTGGCAAATCAGATTTGAATCCTTCCTGCCTAAAGCAGCCTGAGCCCAGGTTGTTCAGAAGGATGTTCCACTGCACATCATTTTGGACTCTAGCATTTAACTGGGAAAGTCTATCTTGAAGGAATAAAAAATTCAGTGGGCAGAATAGCAAACAGATACAAGCACAACACTGTAATTTGTTTTGTAGGTCACAGGGAAGAACAGAAAGGGGGTATATTTCTGCTACTATTAGTGACAGACTATCCCCCACAAAATTAAGGCACCTTAAAAAAAGATTTAGAGCATCTTCATGGTTCCTTGTGCAAAGCCACATTAGGGATTCCCATGCAGCTCTGAAAAAGAAAAGAAAAAAAAAAGAAGGAAAAACCCCACAACAACTTATTTTTGCTGTCCAGTATTTCTGTTAAATACAACCCCAGAGACTAGAGGGCCCTGTGTTGAATCTTTGCAGTTCTCTCCAACAGTTTAGACAGCAGGATAGTCTGAAAGTTTAAGCACTCCATGGGAAGGTGAAAAAGTGCCTCAAGCAGAAGCTGGATCTGAACCTCAACCTCCATTACCTCAGTTCAAGCTCACACTCTAATCCACTGGGGAAGTAGCCCCACACTGCTGTGTCTCACACCTCTCCACAGCAGCTGCCTGAAGAAAATGTTTTAAAAGGTTGTGCCCAACTCTGGGAGCCTAATGTATTTCTTGACTTTTTTTATGCTTTTATAGAATCATAGAATCATAGAATAGATTGGGTTGGAAAAGACCTCCAAGATCATCAAGTCCAACCCCTGATCCAACTCTAATTACTATATCATGGCACTAAGGGCCATGTCCAATCTCTTTTTAAAAACTTCCAGGGATGGTGAATCCACCACCTCTCTGGGCAGGCCGTTCCAATGCCTGATCACCCTCTCTGTAAAGAATTTCTTCCTAACATCTAACCTAAACTTCCCCTGGCAGAGCTTGAGCCCATGTCCCCTTGTCCTGTTGTTGGTTGCCTGGGAGAAGAGACCAACCCCCACCTGGCTATAACTTCCCTTCAGGTAGTTGAAGAGAGTGATGAGGTCACCTCTAAGCCTTCTCTTCTCTAGACTAAACAATCCCAGCTCCCTCAGCCTCTCCTCATAGGACTTGTGCTCAAGTCCCTTCACCAACCTGGTTGCTCTTCTCTGGACCCGCTCCAGCACCTCAATATCCTTCCTGAACTGAGGGCCCAGAGCTGAACACAATACTCAAGGTGTGGCCTCACCAGCGCTGAGTACAGGGAAGGATCACTTCCCTGCTCCTGCTGGCCACACTGTTCTTGATGCAGGCCAGGATGCCATTGGCCTTCTTGGCCACCTGGGCACACTGCTGGCTCATGTTCAGCTTCCTGTCAATCCAGCACCCCCAGGTCCCTTTCCACCTGGCTGCTCTCCAGCCACTCTGTCCCCAGCCTGTAGCGCTGCAGGGGTTGTTGTGGCCAAAGTGCAGGACCCGGCACTTGGCCTTGTTGAACTTCATCCCATTGGAGTCAGCCCATCTCTCCAGTCTATCCAGGTCCCTCTGCAGAGCCCTCCTGCCTTCTGGTAGGTTGACACTCCCTCCCAACTTGGTGTCATCAGCAAATTTGCTGATGATGGACTCAATCCCTCATCTAGGTCATCGATAAAGATGTTAAACAGGACTGGGCCCAGCACTGATCCCTGGGGACACCACTGGTGACCGGCCGCCAGCTGGATGCAGCCCCGTTCACCAGCACTCTCTGGGCCCGGCCCTCCAACCAGTTCCTAACCCAGCACAGAGTGCCCCTGTCCAAGCCATGGGCTGCCAGCTTTTCCAGGAGTATCTTATGGGAGACAGTGTCAAAGGCTTTGCTGAAGTCCAGATAGACCACATCCACAGCCTTCCCCTCGTCCACCAGGTGAGTCACCTGATCGTAAAAGGAGATCAGGTTGGTCAAACAGGATCTGCCTCTCCTAAACCCGTGCTGGCTGGGTCTGATTCCTTGTCCATCTTGTAGGTGCTGTGTGATTGCACACAGGATGATCTGTTCCATAACTCTGCCAGGCACCGAGGTCAGGCTGACAGGCCTGTAGTTACCAGGGTCAGCCTTGCAGCCTTTTTATGGATTGGGGTGATATTTGCCAACTTCCAATCATGTGGGACCTCCCAGTGAGCCAGGACTGTTGGAAGATAATGGAGAGCGGCTTGGCAAGCTCTTCTGCCAGCTCCCTCATTACCCTAGGATGGATCCCATCTGGTCCCATAGACTTGTGAGGATCCAGGTGGCTCAGTAAGTCACTAACTATTTCCTCCTGGAATACAGGGGGCTATTTGGTTTCCTCTCTCTGTCTACCAGCTCCAGAGGCCAGTTGCCTTGAGGGCCACCTGTCTTACTGGTAAAAACTGAGGCAAAGTAGGTGTTAAGTACCTCAGCCTTCTCCTCATCTCTATTAACTATGTTTCCCTCCGAGTCCATCAAAGAATGGAGGTTTTCTTTGCCCCTCCTTTTGTTATTAATGTATTTATAGAAGGACTTTTGTTATCCCTAACAGAAGTGGCCAATTTAACTTCAAATTGCGCTTTTGTATCCCTGATTTTCTTTCTGCATGATCTAGCTGTCTTCCTGAATTCTTCGTAAGTAGCCAACCCTCTCTTCCATAGTCGATAAACTCTCTTTTATCCCTGATTTCCTTCAGAATCTCCCTGTTTAACCAGGCTGGTTGTCTTCCCCGCCGGCTTGCCTTTCGGCACACCGGTATGGCCTGTTCCTGTGCACTCAAAACTTCCTGTTTGAAGCACATCCATCCCTCCTGGACTCCCTTGTTTTCAAGGGTTGTTTCCCAGGGTATGCTCTGGACTAGACTTCTGAATAGGTCAAAATCTGCCCTCCGAAAGTCCAGCGTAGAGGTTTTATTGTTGTTTCTCCTTGAATCTCTGAGTATTAAAAATTCTATTATTTCATGATCACTATTTCCTAGGCGGCCTTCAACCACTATATCTCCCACCAGCTCCTCTCTGTTTGTAAACAGCAGGTCTAGCGGGGCCTTACCCCTGGTAGGTTCATTTACCAGTTGATGAAGGAAATTGTCCTCTATACACTCCAGGAAATTCCTAGACTGCCTCTTCTCTGCAGTATTGAGCTCCCAGCAGATATCTGGCAGGTTAAAGTCACCCACAAGGACAAGGGCTGACAATTTCGAGACATCCGCCAGCTGCTTGTAGAATAATTCATCCCCTTCATCATCCTGGTAGGGTGGTCTGTAACAGACACCCATGATGATGTCAGTCTTGTTGGTCTTCCCCCTGATTTTGATCCACAGGCACTCAACCTTATTGTTGCTGACCTCAAGTTCAACAGGGTCCAGAGAGTCTCTAACATATAAAGCCACCCCTCCACCTCTCCTCCCCTGCCTGTTCTTCCTGAAGAGCTTATAGCCTTCCATAGCAGCACTCCAGACATGCGAGTCATCCCACCATGTTTCTGTGATGGCGACTACATCATAGCCTTCCTGCTGCACAATTGCCTCCAGCTCCTCTTGTTTGTTGCCCATACTGCGTGCATTAGTGTACATGCACTTCAGGTGGGCTGTTGATTTAATTCTTAACTCAGGCTTTCCATCCTTATGTAAAGGGAGAAAACCGGACAACATATAGAACAATGCATTTTCCTAACTTATCAGCATAGAAAACTCAAAACCATTTCATGACTGCAAAGTTATAAATTTACAAGTGTGCATATATTACAATTTGGATTCATTAACAGAAATACTAATACAGAATTCTGTTTAACTACATAAGTCTAGATCGTTCATCATTTTAACCATTGATGGTTAAAAGAAAACTGAATATTACTTACTGATTTCTACTATTCACTCGAATATTCATAAACCTTTATTAACCAAAATTACAGGAAAACCTACTTTATCTTCTACAAAATAAGAAAGTTTCTGTAATTTAACTATTTATTTGCTATATATTTAACACTTTTCTTTCTTTTTTAACTTCTCCCCAATGATTCTCAACAGCAGTTAGAATTGTAAATAGTTACCTCTCTTGACGTAATAAAAAAGAACTGGATAAGCAGTAATTTCTAAAAGAGCTATCCAAAAAAGGTCCAGAAAAATCATATAGGCACTGCATAACTCATCACCCAAATGTACTTCTCACAATATATTTGGTAATTATCTCCTTTTGTTCTGCTATCTAGAAAATGTAAAAATAAAAATGTCCTAATATTTTTTATTCTTTGGAGCAAACCAGTAAACCAGGCTGCTGGTTCTTTGCTGTATACTGGTGTGGAGGGTTTCTCTTCTACACAGGATCTTGACAGAAACACTGGCTCACTTAGTGTCATGGGAAGTAGGCTGTGATTTTCACATCTGTTTGCAACTTCACAGAAAAGGATGATTGAAGGAAAATAAAAATGTCTTATCTTTTTCAGCTTATAGCTGGATTTCACTAGTCTTGTTTACAGTAGTAATGCCACTGAAGCTGAAATATGAGTTCAGTTTTGGTAATGTGTAAGTTACGGTCCAGTAGATTTCTCCATCGCAAGACCATGCCTCACAAACTCCCTGTAGGAAACCAGGCATTAGACAGGGAGTGCTTAACATTTAAAGCTACAGTGGATGAATAAATAAATAATAATAAAAAAAATAAA